TTATTCCCATAAGCACTCTTTTAACTCTTTCCCCGCCATTGATGGAATTTTCCGGATTTCCGTGTTTTCACTGTTATACGGTAGGGGGCGCTATTACACATCCTCTGAAAGAGAACTGAATCTCCAGAGCAAAACACAGGAGAAGAAGAAGCAGAAACAAGTGATATCATATGCAAGGAGGTGCATTTGTAAAATAACGCGATCATCAACATTAAACGGTGTATAAATCAAAACTGAATGAAATGTTGACGCTACAGGACTGTGAAGCTTTGGTGTTGATAAACTCGATCGACTTCACCTGTGTTTGGATCATCGTTCTCAATCTCAATTCTCAATTTGCTCAAAAAATGTTTGTTTTGTTTTTATGAATCTTGCCCACATTCAAGTGTTGAAGAAAAAACTATTGCATAAAGCTAGAATACAGCGTTTTTTTGTTTGTTTGTTTGAAAGTATGGGTGCTGTTCTTTCTTTTGATGTATTGAATGTTTAGATAGTCATACAACAAAATATTCTGGAGGCCATGAAAATAATGGCAGCTTCTTTTCTAAAACACTGGCAGGGAAAGAGTTAAAAGTATGCATAAGTAACTCATTAGACGCAGCATGTGTGTGTGTGTGTGTGTGTTCACCTGTTCCAGCTTGCGGACAGATGTCGTATTGGCACAGGAGGCCCCAGCCCTGGCCCGCCGTACAGCAGCACTCCTGCAGGGTGGTGTTGCGGGACAGTATCTTGCAGGAGTACGGCTCGGACACGCCGTAGTAACACTCCTTCATTTCTCCGGGTCGAGATTGTGGAAGAGAGCCAGACACGGACCCCGAGGAGCCAGCCGAACCACGACCCGACGAGGCTGCGCCAGACGGCCTCGTGCGACCTGCACACACACACATCTATACATGTTTCCTTGATCTCTATAATTAAAGAATTCTGAATTAATAAACAGAATGTATGTATATTTAAGAAAAAAAAAATATTTATATATACTATAAGTTATAGTACATAAATCTATATACAGGATATACATGAAAATATTTCTTAAATATATACAAGCATGTGTGTGTATTTATATATATATATATATATATATAATAATTATACACAGTGCACCCACATATATTATGTAAACACAAATTTTTATTTTGGATGCGATTAATCGCGATTAATTGTTTGACAGCCTTATTTTGCAGCATAAAGAAAATGTATTAATGCGGTTTTTATTTTCACCATTATTGTTATTATTATTATCATTTATTGTCATATTTGGTCCCACTTTATATTAAGTGGCGTCGAAAAATACATCGAAAAATAAGTACAATGTACTGCTAAGTAAAACACTGCTATTGAGGTGTGACACGGGTCAGGTGTGTGTCGCTGTAAGGGAAGGGTCAACAGTGTAAGTACAATATAAAAACATGCATGTACACAATAAGTCCATTGTATCAAATTAATAATTTCAAAGTTAGTACATAGTAGTTACAGCCACTTGATATAAAGTGGGACCTGGTATGGTCAGTAGAGGGCAGCACTGAGACACTGAGCTGGAGTTGTGTGTGTGTGTTACCTGTGCTCTCTCTGCTCACACACTGCTTCGCGAGCGGGTCGAATTCCTCCTGTCCGTTCTCACACTCGCACACGACTGATCCCTCCACATTCCAGCAGTGTGCAGATCCGCAGACGCCCTGCATCGTCTCACACTCGTTTATGTCTGCGCAGAAACACACACACAGGGAGTGTCATCGAGGGGAAAACACTTTCAATTGGGAAAATGAAGTCCGCTTAATTGTACTGGGTGTGCACTTAAATCATAGAGGTACTGTAACTACTCTCGTTAAGTCTAGTTAAGTGTATTTTTATTAGGGCTGTCAAACGATTAATTGCGATTAATCGCATCCAAAATAAAAGTTTGTGTTTACATAATACATGTGGGTGCACTGTGTATAATTATTTTGTATATACACGCGCGTGCTTGTATATTTAAGAAAAAAATATTTATATATAAAATATTTATATATAATATAAATTATATGTACATCTATATACAGTATAAACATGAAAATATTTCTTAAATATATACAAGAATGTGTGTGTGTTTATATACTTTATTTTTTTTATTTTATTTTATTCTATTCTATATTTTGTATATATATATATTAGGGCTGTGCAAAAATTAATTGCGATTAATCGCATCCAAAATAAAAGTCTGTGTTTAAATAATATATTTTTGTCTGTGCTGTATATAATTATTTTGTATATATTAATACACACACATGCATGTATATATTTAAGAAAATGTGTTATTCATATATAAAATATTTATAATTATATAATATAGATTATGTATTTATTTATATATACAGAATTTAAGCGCAAATAATTCTTAAATATATAAATGCATGCATAGATATTTATATATACAAAATAATTATATACAGCACACACAAATATATATATAAACAAACTTTTATTTTGGATGCGATTAATCACGATTAATCGTTTGACAGCCCTAATTTTTATGAATGTTTCACTTAAGTGCACTTTTACTTTAAAGTACATTAAGTCATTAAGTTTTAATAGTCTATTGTTGTAATGTAAAGAAGTACACTCATGTTGATGCTTCTCGATGGACTAGCATACATGTAAAGTACTTGATTATAATTTTAACTGCAGTGTGTTATTTGATATTAAATTTAAAGTTAATATATTTAAAATGTTCTAAATTGCAACTTTTTTTATTACAAATGTCCAATTACTCGATTAATCGCATCTAATAAAAATATATGTTAGGTGGAGATGCGATTAATCGATTTGACAGCACTAGTAATTACAAATATATTTAAATACATGACACACAATTTTCAATAGGAATGGCATTAAAGTCTATTTTAGTTCATCATAAATGCTTGTCAGTATTCGCCAGTGCACTTTAACCATTTTTCAAAGACGATATAAGAAATTATTACATAATTTCATTATTAAATTTCATATAACTCCTACTTAAGTCACTAATAAGTTCAAGTAATTGCATTTAATATAAACTGAAACTACAATTTGAACTTAATAACAAGTAAATGACATGCAATTAATTTTCTGAGTTCCCAGTTAAGTATATTATTTCCATTATAAAGAGCTCTTATTCAGTATATTATTTTAAAGTATGTTATTTCCATAATCAAGAGCTGTTGTATATTGAACTCACCCACACACATCTGTCCATCGCCGGTGGACTCGTAGCCCTGGTCACACAGACACTGATATGTGCCGATCAGATTCTGGCAGAAAGCGTGGAGTCCACACACCGTCTCATTGGTGCACTCGTTGATGTCTGCGAGAGAAACTCACTGTCACTCACTGCTGGGGCTCGTTAAAGGGATAGTTCACCCAAAATTGAAAATTAGCCCATGATTTATTCACCCTGAAGCCATCCTAGGTGTGTATGACTTTCTTCTTTCAGACGAAAACAATCAGTTATATTAAAAAAATGCCCTCGCTCTTGCAAGCTTTATTATGGCACCAAAGGGTGGTTTTGAAGTCCATCAAAGTGCATCTGTCCATCATAAAAGTGCATCTATCCATGATATTTATGATGGACAGATGCACTTTTATGACGGATAGATTCACTTTTATGATGGATAGATGCACTTTTATCATGGACAGATGCACTTTTATGATGGATAGATGCACTTTAGTGATGTATAGATGTACTTTTATTATGGATAGAGGCACTTTTATGATGGATAGGTGAACTTTTTTGATGGACTGATGCACTTTAATGATGGATAGATGCACTTTTATGATGGATGGATGCACTTTTATGATGGACAGATGCACTTTTATGATGGACCGATGCACTTTTATGATGGATAGATGCACTTTTTTGATGGACTGATGCACTTTAATGATGGATAGATGCACTTTTATGATGGATGGATGCACTTTTATGATGGATAGATGCACTTTTATGATGGATAGATGCACTTTTATGATGGACAGATGCACGTTTATGATGGACTGATGCACTTTTATGATGGATAGATGCACTTTTATGATGGACAGATGCACTTTTATGATGGACTGATGCACTTTTATGATGGATAGATGCACTTTTATCATGGATAGATGCACTTTTATGATGGACTGATGCACTTTTATGATGGATAGATACACTTTTATAATGGATGGATGCACTTTTATGATGGATGGATGCACTTTTAATATCTTCAAAACATAAACAACCATTCACTCCCATTATAAAGCTTGTATAAGCCAGGAGATTTTTTAATATAACTCTGATTGTATTCGTTTAAAAGAAGAGTGTCATATACACCTAGGATGGCTTCAGGGTGTGTAAATCATGGGCTAATTTTAATTTTTGGGTGAACTATCCCTTTAAGTGTGTGTGATCTGTGTCAGACTCACCCACACACTCTCCTGTGGCAGTGATGTGGTATCCGGGCTCGCAGGACGCCACACAGTGGAACGAGCCGATGGTGTTCTCGCAGCGCTGAGATCCACACACACTCCTCTCTGAGTCCAAACACTCGTTCACATCTGCAGGAGGAAACACTTCAGCTGAGATCTGCCCAACACACACACACACTCATCCATGCGTGATGTCCTCGCCTGTGACAGAGTCAGGCCTTTGCCTTTTTTTGTGCTCTCCGTGTGGGTGATTTTTCTGTTAACCTCACATTTTACTCTCAAATCAAGCTTTAAATGATAGAAAATGGTTTTTAATGGTAAAGACTGTAACACATTACAGTAAGGTTCATTAGTTCACATTAGTTAACTACCTTAGTAGCTATGAATGAGCAATAGTTCTTTCGCATTTATCCATCTCATTTAATATTAATTTCAACATATACTAATAGCCTACATTATTATAATCAAAGGTTGTATTTGTTAAGATTAGTTAATGCACTGTGAACATGAACAAATACAGAACAACTGGATTATTATTAACTAACATCAACAAAGATTAATACATACTGCTACAAAGGTATAGCTCATTGTTAGATAATACATTGAATAATGTTAACTAATGAATCTTTCTGTAAAGTGTTATCATAAAATCTTTTCAATGTCTTTCTCTGTAATGAATTTCCATGGAAGCTTGTTTCTGCCACTGAATAAAAAAATCATTTGTGACTTTTTTTCCCCAAAGAGTTGCAAGATATAAACTCGCAATAAGGAGTTATAAATTATAATATTGTATATGTCCATCTCAATAATTAAATTAAGTTAAATTAAGGGTTAAAAAAAAAAAAAAAAGGTTTTATGCTAATTATAAGCCAGGCCACATTAGTTTAACAACCAGAAATACAATATATTTTACTTCATATTCTGAGAGCAGCTTAACTAGGTCATTTTTTTTGTACATTCGTAAAATTAAAATGAAATTATATTAAAATACATTTATATAACTGCAGTAAGAGAAGAAAACTTTTTAATAAAATTCCAGTATGAATTATCAATAAAGATGTTGTGATAAAAGTACACCATTTAGGTGTGTGTGTGTGTGTGTGTTACCCAGACAGGCGGTTCTCTCTGGGCTGGTGGTGAAGCCGGTCTGGCAGTGGCACAGGAACGACCCCTCAGTGTTGGTGCAGCGGCCGTCCTGGCAAACTCCCTCTTGACTGCACTCGTCCACATCTGGACACACACATGCACACACACCAGCATGACATCATCGTCATCAGTAACGCTCCTGAGCTGAAGTTACAGGAACAGCGGATCACTGGAAGATGCTCAATGGCTGGCAGAAAACACAAGTGTGCAAACTGAGCCTGTGTAGGTTTGTAACTAATTTGCACAATGCCAGCCCATTGGCTGAACAGCGCCTCTTAGCTCCGCCCTCAAACACTGTAGTGTATCTGAGACTGGAAGAGCAAATCCACTTTGAGGAGATTGATACGGTAAAACCCACGCCATCGTTACTGTTCGTATCAATGTGATCAAGAGCTGAGATTCAGATATGATAATGAGCGTTCGGTTTCCGACCAATCACAGCAGAGCAGCTCTGAGAGAGGCGGGGTTTAGAGAGACCTGATCGAAGCGTTTCAGACTCTGAGAGAAAAGAGCTGATGCTGTGATGCATGTTATGAGACAATTAAAGTGTTTTTTGACTGTGAATGCATGTAAATATATTGTAAGGGACCTGCAAAAAAAATAGGAATAATAGGGTATATATATATATATATATATATATATTTATATATTTTTTGGTTTATACATATATATAAACAAATATATATATATATATATTTTTTTTTTTTTTGCAATTTAGTGCATTTTTTGAATAATAGGGTATATATATATATATATATATATATATACAGTATATATATTTATATATTTTTTGTTTATACATATATATAAACAATTATATATATATAAATATATATATATATATATATATATATATATATACATTTTTTTTTTTTGCAATTTAATGCATTTACGCATACTTATGTAGTACATAGACATTAAAGTGCACTTAATTCCATTATTTGAAATTATTAAAGTGTTTTTGATGTTGGATGCACATAAATCTGTTTGGGAAACAAAATTATGAATCTTTAAAATAACATAATGGGGGAAAATTAAAACAATACGCACTTTCAATATAAATGCAATGACAAAATGATGCAATGCATAGAATAAGTGATATATAATCCGGTTGACTCCAGTTTTTGAGTCGGAGTGCAGATGTTTTCCTTCATCACATGCTGCGTAATTATCTTGCATCTTGATTCTATCTAATAGGGTGTGTGGTGGACATGTCGAAAGGAAAAATGTTTACTTCGGGCTTTTGAGTGATGCAGTTATGTGAATCATTTCATCCAAGAGTTAAGTAACTTTTCACATTCGAGAAATTTTCTTTTAAAACAACTCCCTAATGACAACTGAAGAATTCATAAAAACAATCCAAATCCAAGGTCAGTCACGCTATAGCTTTTATATTTCCCGACACGTTGTTGGTTATACTGTATATGAGGACTGGTGTCATACCTTGGCAGGACGTCGCGTTAACGGCGCTCGTGTAGCCGTTCGCACACACACACTTAAAGGAGCCGTCTGTGTTCACACACTCTCCGCTCGGGAAGCAGAAGTCTCCTTCCAGACACTCGTTAATGTCTGAGCCGGCGGATGTCAGCGTGCCACAGTGGGAGACAGGAGTGAAAAAACAAATTCATATTTGAAAACAGCATATTCTAATTAGCCGGAGAGAGTGTGAACGTGTGTGTTCCCTTCGAATTAAATGTATATTTTCTCTGACCTCGACACTGGCGCCGTGGACCGGCCGATCTGTACCCTGGCAAGCAGTCGCAGCGATACGACCCGTCCGTGTTCACACACACACTCTCCGGCCCACACACGCGAGGACCCGCACACTCATCGATGTCTGAAGGGGAAACAAACAGCTTGTGACGATGCAGAATCATGAAAGCTGTGCCTGTGTTAATGTGCTTGAGCCTCATCATACTTTATCTTCTTCCCCTTTTTTAATGTCAATCAAGCTTTTTACAAGAATATATTTATAATTTAGTTGATTAATGACTATTTTTAACCATCTCTCTGACAAAGGTGTCGATAAAATGAATAAATATATGTTTAAAAAATAAATAAATCATGAAAGGTGTCAATATAATGAATAAATATATTTAAAAAATAAATAAATCATGAAAGGTGTCAATATAATGAATAAATATATTTAAAAAAAAGAATCAATTATGAATGGTGTCAATAAAATTGATAAATATATGTTTAATAAATAAATAAATCATGAAAGGTGTCAATAAAATGAATAATATATGTTACAAAAAAAATAAATGAAGAAATGCGTCAATAAAATGAATAAATATATTTTTTAAAATAATAAATCATAATGTGTCAATAAAATAAATAAATATGTGTTTCAAAAATAAATAAATGATGAAAGGTGTCAATAAAATTAATAAATGTATTTAAAAAATATTATGAAAGGTGTCAATAAAATGAATAAATATATGTTACAAAAATAAATAAATGATGAAAGGTGTCAATAAAATGAATAAATATATTTAAAAAAATAATAAATCATAATATGTGTCCATAAAATAAATAAATATGTTTCAAAAATAAATAAATCATGAAAGGTGTCAATAAAATGAATAAATATATAAAAAAAATCATGAAAGGTGTCAATAAAATGAATAAATATTTGTTTAAAAAATAAATAAATCATGAAAGGTGTCAATAAAATGAATAAATGTATATTTAAAAATAAATAAATCATGAAAAGTGTCAATAATATGAATAATATATTAAAAAAATAAATAATTAAAGGTCAATAAAATGAATAAATATATTTAAAAAATCACGAAAGGTGTCAATAAAATTAATAAATATACTTAAAAATGATTCATAATATGTGTCAATAAAATAAATATATATATGTTTCAAAAATAAATAAACCATAATATGCGTCAATAAAATGAATAAATATATGTTTAAAAAATAAATACATCATAATATGCGTCAATAAAATGAATAAATATATATTTCAAAAATAAATAAATCATGAAAGGTGTCAATAAAATGAATAAATATATATATATTTCAAAATAAATAAATCATGAAAGGTGTCAATAAAATGAATAAATATACGTTTCAAAAATAAATAAATTACGAAATGTCAATAAAATAAATAAATTTACAGTATGTTTAAAAATAAATAAATAATTATATGGCAATAAAATAAATAAATATGTTTATTTTTAAAATAAATATAGAAATTTTAATAAAATCATTAAATGTGTCAATAAAATAAATATGTTTAAAAATTAATAAGTCATGAAATATGTAAATAAAAAATACATATGTTTTAAAAAAAATCATACAATGTCAGTAACCAGAAATAAATGTTTAAAAATAAATAAATGATGAAATCTGTCAATAAAATGAATCTCAAATCAAATGAAATTTGATAAATACTGTAAATGTTGAGTGCCTCAATGTCCTATGGAATATTTATTTATTTATGAGGTCATTTTTTTCTTGTTTTATTTATTTCCTGAAACATTTAATGTTTTAATTATTAATGAACATTTTTCAATTTATTGAAAATATTTATATTTATAAAATATAAATATATTTATACATCATTTATTTTTGGTTAAATTTTTTTAATTGCTTAATTACTAATCTTTAGTTTGCTAGCCTATATACAGTATACTTTGTGCATATAATATTATACATATAGTTTTGAAGGTGGAGGGTTTTCAGAGACAGATGTGTTGAATCATCTTTTATCTCACTCTCCACATGATTCAAACTCAAACTCTGAGCGGATGTGGATAATTGTGCGGGAACACGTGGCTGAGATGATACAAGTTCTGCCATCTGTTGGCCACATGTCTCCTCTTACACGGCAGAGAGAGATAGACAGGGCCGGATTAACAATAGGGCTAGGCGGGGCTGAAGCCCCGGGGCCCGAGCAAGGAGGGGGCCCGTGATTGGCTGTGGAGGAGATATTTAAGCCATCTGATTGCCAAAGACTTACCACGCAACGCCCCCCACAAATTGGCTCTGTTATTTAGTGGCGCTTTGCCGTATATTCCATGCATTATCATGGAATCATTCTCATTATTATTTTAGAGAGGTTCGCAAAGACCCGCCTTTTTTAGTTACTGTGTGACGAGCGACGAGCCTGCCCAGGCAGCTCTCGCTCTCGAGTCACGCACATCATGTTCTCATGCACTCACGCAGTGAAAAATACATCGCGAGTCAAAGACAATCGAGTGACTACGAGAGAGAGAGAGTTCAGAACAGCTTACTGTTGATATGAAACAAAGTCTTAACTTTCAAATGTTGTCATTAAGTAATTTAAACAATACCGTTTTCAAGTTCAAGTCCACCGACAATCTTGTTGTCGGACAAAGTTGCGTATTCGGCATTATGATTCGCCAGGCCGCCTGTCAATCAAACCCCCGTGGGCACCAGGGCATGGTAAATTGAAACGTCACATTTTAATTTGTTATAACAAATATATTTATTCTTTATTTGACTTGTGAACGATCGACCTGCTGCTGCACGTAGGCCTATAGATGGCTGTGTGCGCCTTATTAGAATATACATCAACCAATAAATCGCCTTTACTCTTCACTTCATTCTAAAACACAGCGTCATCATCGACCCCACAAACTTTCGGTAAGTTTGAATATTAACTTGATGGATGTATGATATTGCTTTTTGTGTTTGATCAAACTCTTTATTCGCCTAAAGGGCTGGTGATAATATATCCGGTAGAAATATTTAAATTTTGCTGCACCATCATGATGTAAGTTTATCATTTAAACACGTTTTTAAGCATTGTGATTTGGATGCATATTATTTCAAACTGCTCTTGGCATAGTAGCAGCGGGAGGAAATTCATTTTGTAAATGCTGGTTTTGAGACCATGGTGAACTTGAGACGGTTTTGCACAGCGCACTTGAGCTCCAACTCTGAGGTCTTAAAGTGACAGACGCTGCTAATAAAGCTGCTGTCGCCATAATTTAAGACATAAGAAAGAAAGTATTACTGCCCTTGACTGAATTACTTTTGCTAAATTAACAAGAACGAATGTTGAATTTATAGTGAAAACCATGCATTGTATATTTGATTACTTTATACAATATAATATTATTCAGTGCTTTAATTTTTTTTTAAGTATGTCGATTTCTTATGTGCCTTTGTTCTATTTTAATTTGTGACTCTTGTCATCAGTAAGCTTGAGATTATTAAGCTACTATTATTTTTTGTGATATTGAAATTTGTCACAAGAATTATGACATTTTAGTGGCAATATTTTGATATGATAAAAAAATCGTGTTAAAAGTAATCTAACTTAACTGTGAAGTATATCATAGATGGATAAAATGACTCATATAATGATATAACATTTAGCTCATGTAGTTGGTGACCTAAAGTGGTGGGGGGCCCTGCAGTAACTCATAGCCCCGGGGCCCTGTGAGCTCTTAATGCGGCCCTGGAGATAGATCGACCATGGCGGAGGAATGAAGCTCTCTCACACACATACACACACACACACATGATGCCGTTCATCAAGCCAGCTTTCTGCATCCTTTCCTTGTGCGATGAGGAGCACTCAGAGAGCGGCAAGATGGCTTGAAATGCAGGTTAAGCTCATCTCACCTGCGCAGCGTCCGTCCTGCATGCTGTGCCCGTCTCGGCAGGGAACACACTTATACGAGCCCGGAGAGTTCAGGCACTGCTGACCGGGACACTGCAGTGTGTCCAAACACTCGTCAATGTCTGATAAAGGGAGAATGTAGAGCTTGTGTAAATGCTACAGGATGAGGTGAAATAAAAGCATGAAGTGTGTGTCCTCTTACCTGTGCAAGCGCTGTCCTGTAGCTGGAAGCCCACGGCACACACACACCTGAAGCTGCCGGGAGTGTTTCTACACTGGCCATTAGTGCAGCGCGTCCGGTCCAGACTGCATTCATCTGTGTCTGAACACACACAAATGCCTTCAAATCAGTCTTAGTGACATTAGTAGCACCATATTTCATTAGTGACAGGAAGGAAAATGAGACTTATGCAGTACCGGAGTTTAACAGCAGTCTTTCTGAATTTTTTTATTTATTTTTTTAATAAATTTTCCACTGTATGACTGTAAAGGCACGTTCACACCAAGGACAATAACTATAGTGATATAGTTCTAAAAAATCATATTAAATACAAAATAATATCACTATAAATATAATGATAATGGCCCGATCACTTTCAGCTGATGAGCGATAAAACACTGACAGCCAATCAGAATCCACCAGACTTCAGCTCGAGCATTTAAAGGGACAGGCGACAAAACTGCAGCACGCTTATAATAAAAAAGCGAACGATATCATCCGCTGATATCGTTATTGTTATAGTTATCATTCTTGGTTTCAAACTGACCTTATTTTCATCCACGTTAAATTCAATATGCGTCTAATCTGACGTCTAGTGCTGAAAGATGGTTTTACGCACATGAGTTTTGGAATAATTCGCATCAATAAGAAAACATGAAGCATGCAATGAATGCAGCGTCTGTATTGATGGTACATTTGTTGAAATTAATTAAATTATTACTATTATAAACAATAAAACTATCTAAGTTGCATGTACAAAATACGATAGCATCGTAAAATTCCAAGTCGTAAATCCGAACTTCCACGCGTTTGTTAATATTTTGAATTAGATTTCATTTTTATATTTTTTATGTTTTCATTTAAATTTAAGTTAAAAAGTTGACAAATAGCTAAAATATTTTTTTTTTATATACATTTAATTTTATTTAAATGGTTTTAGTTTTGGGTACTGATAATAACCCGATTAAAATCTTAACGATTATACAAGAAATGGTACTTTATCAAACATAAAAATGTCCGTACTAAGTGACAAAGATATTACAACTGTCTCCGTGACAGAACTAGACTCAGTTACAATAAAAATAAAAAGTGTTAAGGACATTGTGTTAATGTCAGCACATTTATGACTTTATGACATTATCACACTGTAACTTTAAAACACGCATAATCTGTAAAGCTGGTTTAAATGTGACATAAGAAATAAGAAATAATTGCATGGAGACTTAAAAATTTTTATTTTTTATTTTTGTAACCTAATTAAATGAATGTTATATGTGGAGATCCACATGAAGAGATACCTTGGCAGTGTCCGTCAAGAAGCTCAAAGCCCGGCTGACAGGAGACACACTTGAAGGAACCGACCGAGTTCACACACTCCCTTCCTGGGCACTGAAGCTCATTTTCACACTCGTTCACATCTGGAACGAGGTACGAAACACACTCATTTCATGAATGGAACAACTGGGGATGAAATCTGTAATGATCCCTTGTGTAAAACAAGTGTGCTTAACTTGTAGAGCACTTCAAAGTAGTAGTATTAAAGAAAACTGTACTTGCAGACAATATAAAAGGCCATTTAAAGGGATACTCCACTTTTTTTTGGAAATGGGCTCATTTTACAACTCCCCCAGAGTTAAACTGTTGAGTTTTACCGTTATTGAATCCATTCAGCCGATCTCCGGTTCTGGCGGTACCACTTTTAGCATAGCTTAGCATACATCATTGACAAGACCATTAGCATTTCTCAAAAAAACAAAAAGACCAAAGAGTTTCAATATTTTTCCTATTTAAAACTTGAGTCTTCTGTAGTTACATTGAGCACTAAGACCGACGGAAAATGTAAAGTTGCGATTTTCTAGGCTGATATGGCAAGGAACTATAGCCATATCCTAGCCATATCAGCCTAGAAAATAGCACCTTTACATTTTCCATCGGCCTTAGTGCTCAATGTAAGTACAGAAGAGTCAAGTTTTAAATAGGAAAAATATCTTTATAGGAATAACATTTTTTTTTTGGAGAAATGCTAATGGTCTTGTCCACTTCAATGATGTATGCTAAGCTATGCTAAAAGTGGTACCGCCAGAACCGGAGATCGGCTGAATGGAGATCCACGTCTTTCTTTCTTCAGTTGATAAGAAATTAAGGTTTTTGATGAAAACATTCCAGGATTTTTCTCCATATAATGGACTTCAATGGGGTCCAAACGGTTCAAGGTCCAATTGACAGTTTCAGTGCAAACTACAAACTGTTCAAAGGGCTTTAAACGACACCAGACGATGAATAAGGGTCTTATCAAGCGAAACGATCGCTAATTTAATAAATAAATAACAAAGTTTAGGTAACAAAATAAATATTAAAATTAAATAACAAAGTTTAACAAGCATTTACACACCTACAGCACCACCCTCATCACTGCCCCTCTATTATCAATACAGCTCACTGTTCACCCTCCATCTTCCTCTCCAGTGTCAGCATTACGTAACATGAAGTAATGATTCAATTATATCTAGATATGGACTTAAGTCTTAATTCAGTGGGAATAATAGTCTATTTTCACACATTTGACATTACATTACATTAAAATCATACTTATTTCCAAAGGGCCTCTTTTTAAAAGTATGCTAAAGTGCACAGAAGCTTGAGAAGGTTTGTTCAGTTGTGAAGCTCAAACCTTCGCAGATGTTTCCCTCCAGTCTGAATCCAGGGGGACACAAACAGCTGAAACTTCCCACGTTATTCTCACAGCGGCCGTTCACACACAGCCCAGGAGTCTGGCGACACTCGTCGATATCTGACACAAATAAAAAACTTGGTCATTATCCAATGAGCTTCATGCTTTCTCTCCTGCAAACTCAGGACTAGAACAAAGAACACTAAACTAGACAGGTGAAACTAAACCGAAACAAGGCAGAAAGTTAAAATAAGAACAGAATATAAACCTGACAATTATTAAGCAACATTTCGGCTTATGCCTACAGAATATATAGATTTCGATTTTCTTTATCTTTTGGTAAGACTTCAGTTTAGGGTTTCATTCTCACTATTAACTAGTTGCTAATTAGCATGCATATTGCTATGATATTGGCTGCTTATTATTTTAGTACTTATAAAGCATATATTCCTTATTCTGCATGATTGACCACATTCCCTTAATCCTACAATACGTAAACCTAACCATTACCTTACTAACTATTAATAATTAGTATCCAGGCAAAATCTTTAATAGTGAGAATTGGACCCTACCGTTTTTTTTTTTTTTTTTACTTTGGGTTAATGTTTTTGTCTTTGGGAAAATAATATTTTTGATTCAAATTAAGTGAAAACTTAAATATTTGAGTTACTCAAGTTAAATTAGGCAGTGTTATTCTAACGCAAAATAAAAAAATCCTAACGGTCAAAATAATTAATTGGTTTAACTTAAGTTCAACAAATTAGTTCAGTCAAATTAATTTGTATGAGTATTTAGCACTTTCTTTTTTCTTTCAAGTTCACAGAGCTGATATATTTTAAGTAAACTGAACTGTTTCATTGTTTTGAGTTTTATTAAATTATTTATTTTTAATTTAGACGAACTTAAGTTTAACTGAAACGGCTGGGATATCTATTTCCCAGCATGCCTTGCCGATGGCACTCGAAAGAGTGTGTAAATGCTAAAATTAAGTGCAATATAATGTTTTTTTGTGTAAGATTAATGTTAAGTGTGAGATTTAGTAGTGATTAATTTTTTGTTATGCTAATTTAGAAGAATTTCTGTTAATGTTGGCTTTAAGATAGTTACCATCATGGTGACAAGTGGTGCATTCAGCTTGATTTGATTTACGTCAGCAGATTAGCTTTTAAAGCTAACTGTATACTATTAAAAGTGATTTGAGTTCTGACAACTTCTTCGGGTTTACAGTGTACTTCATAGATTTAAGTTATAGTAATTAATTAGAACTATTAACTTTATTAACCCAAGTTATCTTAACAATAAGTTATTGAGTTACTTGGAAACAAATCAAATATTTTTTTACGCTTAAATTGTTTGAGTTAATAAACTTAAATGATTTAAGGCAATCGGTTTGAGTTGAACTAACTCATCATCAGGTTTTACAGTTGCAACAGTATTTTTTTTAAGTTGAACCTAATTATTGTTAAGTTACGATTATAATGCAATTATATGATTAAAACGGTTTAAATGTGAGTGTGTTGTAGTTACCTGAGCATGCTCCATTTTTAAGACTAAATCCAGGTCTGCACGACACACACCAATACGATCCCTGAGAGTTCACACACTCCTGTCCGGGACACTGCAATGGATCTTCACACTCATTCACATCTGCGTTCACATGCACATACACACACACATATGACTTACGGGATTTATTTCAAACTCAGTTTTTCATGATCGGTTTTGCATGAAGAATCATACCTGTGCAGGTGCCGCCCTGCAATCTGAAGCCAGCTCCGCACACACACCTGAAGCTGCCAGGTGTGTTTTCACACAGTCCGTTCGAGCAAGGAGACGGCGTCTGACGGCATTCGTCAATATCTGGACAGATAACGGCATCCCACTTTCAGGGTCTGTACATATTTCACACGCTGATGGGTTGAAACGAGTCGTTACCTGAGCATGCTCCATTTTTAAAGCTAAATCCAGGTCTGCACGACACACACCTATAAGATCCCAGAGAATTCACACACTCCTGTCCCGGACACTGCAATGGGTCCTCACACTCGTTCACGTCTGTAACGTGCACATCAATCCAGGCACACATGAACACAATAATCTAAAGGTATATTATTTAAACGTAAAAGCATTTTCTTACCCACACAGGTGTTGGCCTGCAATCTGTATCCATTTCGACATGCGCATCTGTAGCTGCCGGGTGTGTTTTCACAGCGGCCGTCGGGACACGGGGACGGGGTCCGGCGACATTCATCAATATCTGAATAAAAGAAAGAATTACGAGAATATATTAACACAGGGTTAACAAGCAAACTAAACAAGGAACAGGTGAACATAATCATTAACTAATGAGTAGCTGATGGTAAGGGTAAGGAGAGTACTACACTGAAAGGAGTACAACGCATGAACAAACTAAACACAACCCAGACAATTATTTCCAAAATAAGTACTTAAAGGAGTAGTCTACTTTTAAAAAAACTTTTACTGATAATTTACTCACCCCCATGTCATCCAAGATGTCCACGTCTTTCTTTCTTCAGTCGAAAAGAATTTAAGGTTTTTGATGAAAACATTCCAGGATTTTCTCCTTATAATGGACTTCAATGGGGTCCAAAAGAGAGTTTCAGTGCAAACTGTTCAAAGGGCTTTAAACGATCCCAGACGATGAATAACGGTCTTATCTAGGACCCTTCGAGTCATGACTCGAAAAAAAGATTTATTCATTTTGATGAACGAGTTTGAACAGGAAAGTCACGAATGCGCGTCACAGAACAGAGCAAGGCGGGCATTTGTGCTTATAAAACTTAAACTATGTTATTTATTTTTTAAATGACCGATCGTTTCGCTTGATAAGACCCTTATTCATCGTCTGGAATCGTTTAAAGCCCTTTGAAGCAGCACTGAAACTCTCATTTGGACCTTGAACCGTTTGGACCCCATTGAAGTCCATTATATGGAGAAAATCCTGGAATGTTTTCATCAAAAACCTTAATTTCTTTTCGACTGAAGAAAGAAAGACGTGGACATCTGGATGACATGGGGGTGAGTAAATTATCAGCAAAAGTTTTTTGAAAAGTGAACTACTCTAATGTAAACGTATGCTAAAGTGAGCTTATTTTTCAGATTAGTCTGCAAAAGTAATATTACAAAGTGATATTTCTGTGCCGTGTGTTACCTGAGCATAGTCCATTGAGCAGATCAAAGCCAGGCTTACAGGAAACACACCTATATGAGCCTTGAGAGTTCACACACTCCTGACCCGAACACCGGAGCGGGTCAACACACTCATCTATGTCTGAGGAAAATAAAACACCACATCAAGTATATTTGAGTTATTTTTTGGATACAGAAAACACATTACTACACATTATACACCAGGATGAGTAGTTTTGTCTACTACACACACACACACACACACACACACACACACGAGATGCTCATGGTGCTCTAAAAATGACTTCAACAGCATTTCATTTGAGAAAACTATCACCATATCAAAAATGCACACAGAAACTCTTCTCGACGACCCATCAAAATACAATTTTGAATATTAACAAATTATTAAAACTTTTTTTTTTTTTTTTTTAAAGAAATAGTCAAAAAATAATTCTGTTGTGCAGATCTTTGCTAAAAAAAATTTGAAAGAAGCTTTTGGCATTCTAATTTGATTACATTTCATTAGCACCTAAAATGGGGTGGGGATAAGATGGATTTCAAATGTTCCTTTTAATAAACCGTTGATAAATTTCAATGAATTACACGTTTTTTGATTTCAAGAGTACAAACTATAGCAAGCAAATGCTTAATCACTGTTATAATTATGTGTTCTTTGGACCCCCAAAAGGTTTGAGAAACCCATTATGGGTCACATGATTAGATTTACCTATGCAGCTGTTCTCCTGTAGCTTATATCCAGTTCTGCACACACACCTGAAGCTGCCCAGAGTGTTTTCACAGCGGCCGTTAATACAGGGATTGGGAACCTGACGGCACTCATCGAAATCTGTGGAATCCATCAATGATTTAACCGATCTCATAAATAATTATATGCATAAAGCACCATTGACAAAGAACGAAACGTCTCTAACCGACACACAGGGTCTGCTGGGAGTTGGTCTGGTATCCCGATGGACAAACACAACGGAAGCTGCCCGCCGTATTCTCACACTGTCCCACAGAGCACGGCCTGGGCGTCAAGAGACACTCGTTTCTGTCTGGAGAGAGAGAGAGAGAGAGAGGTGCTTCGATCATCGATTGGTTATTATGGTACTGTTAATATTGCTGGCTCTTGTATCCTGATACATTACTTGTGCTTTTCCTGAATTGTAAGAGGCTTTCAGTGTGTTACAATAACGTAATGCACATGCACACAGAAATTCACACAGTTAAAGCATTTGCAGATGGAGACAGAGATGACAAATATATGAGCTGGCTGACCTTTAGGCAAAGTCACTATGACCTTTTACCTTCAAAAGCCTTGGAAGACACCAATGAGAAAAAGAGGAATCCTGCTATAATCCCAAGCATTTGGAAACCCATACACTCGCCTAAAGATTATGAGGAACACCATACTTATACTGTGTTTGACCCCCTTTATTCTTCATGGCATTGATTCAACAAGGTCCTGAAAGCATTCTTTAGAAATGTTGGCCCATATTGATCGGATCGCATCTTGCAGTTGATGGAGATTCGTGGGATGCACATCCAGGGCACGAAGATCCCATTCCACCACATCCCAAAGATGCTCTATTGGGTTGAGATCTGGTGACTGTGGCGGGCATTTTAGTACAGTCAACTCATTGTCATGTTCAAGAAACCAGTTTGAAATGATTCATGGTGCATTATCCTGCTGGAAGTAGCCATCAGAGGATGGGGACATGGTGGCCATAAAGGGATGGACATGGTCAGAAACAATGCTCAGGTAGGCCGTGGCATTTAAACGATGCCCAATTGGCACTAAGGGGCCTAAAGTGTGCCAAGAAAACATCCCCCACACCATTACACCACCACCACCAGCCCAACAGTGGGAACAAGGCATGATGGATCCATGTTCTCATTCTGTTTACGCCAAATTCTGACTCTACCAACAGAAATCGAGACTCATCAGACCAGGCAACATTTTCCCAGTCTTCAACTGTCCAGTTTTGGTGAGCTCTTGCAAATTGTCGCCTCTTTCTCCTATTTGTAGTGGAGATGAGTGGTACCCAGTGGGGTCTTCTGCTGTTGTAGCCCATCCGCCTCAAGGTTGAGTGTGTTGTGTCTTCTTCACAAATGCTTTGCTGCATACCTCGGTTGTAACGAGTGGTTATTTCAGTCAAAGTTGCTCTTCTATCAGCTTGAATCAGTCGGCCCATTCTCCTCTGACCTCGAGCATCAACAAGGCATTTTGGCCCACAGGACTGCCATCGCATACTGGATGTTTTTCCCTTTTCACTCCATTCTTTGTAAACCCTAGAAATGGTTGTGCGTGAAAATCCCAGTAACTGAGCAGATTGTGAAATACTCAGACACCAACAACCATTGCTTAAATCACCTTTCTTTCCCATTCTGACATTCAGTTTGGAGTTCAGGAGATTGTCTTGACACCTAAATGCATTGAAGCCACTGCCATGTGATTGGTTGATTAGATAATTGCATTGATGAGAAATTGAACAGGTGTTCCTAATAATCCTTTAGGTGAGTGTATATATCTTCTTTGGAGTGTAAGTCTGCAGTCTTGCTTATTTCTATTTCCTTAGCCGTGCATTGACTCCCAGGTTCATACCTTGGCATTGGCCTAGCTGAGGATTGAGTATATATCCCGTGTTACACACACACGTGTGTTTGCCGCCTGGCAGGTCAATACAGCGACCCGACCCGCACACCTGAGGTCGCAATTCACACGCTCGGGCATCTGGGGGACACACACACTGATTCAATTTCAGGTCATTTCATAAAATTTTCATTTAATAACAAGTAATTAAGTGTTTGAAAACATTACATGAAAGTATATTATTGCATATTAAAATGTATTATTTCTGTATTAAGTGCTCTTTTCCAAAAGGCTTACCTTGTCGAGTCAGCAGTGGTCGGGCTGTCGGCACAGGAGGTCTGACTGGAGAAACTGGCTGTCTGTTAACCGAGGGCCGGCTGGTTTGCGTACGGACAACAGCTGTAAACAATTCAATTGGATTAAACACAACTCCACAACTGTGCGTTCATAAATAACTTTATAAGAAACGCTGTCACTCACGCTACTACTGTTATCATTCAAACAGAATGTTAGAAATTGACAGACGATGCATACTTACTAATAAGTTACATGTTAAAATGTCTCTGGAAACCAATTTAAGGTGACACATTTTGCCCCTTAATAATAAAAACTATTTTTTTTGGTCACTGTTGTTAACTGACCCCCCATAGAATGTGAATATCTTTGTGAGTCAGCCGTCAACAACAGGCCTAAACCAGCCATGGTACCAGCAAAATATTGTCAATATTGCACTCCCCTAATGTACAGTATTCATGCAGGTGCATTGTGCAAGTCTCTGAGATTTGCAGAACTACGCCCCCTCTGGCGAAAAGCGAAACTGCAACTAGAGGTGTGCACACTCTTGCACGAGCTGTTAATAACCAAAGGAGCATCAGCTGCACAAATCTTTTGTTACAGTCATAATGTCTTCAGAGGTATCTGCGAGTCATTTTAAATATATGAAAGGAAAGGCATTTGAGTAAATGACACACTTATGTGTGTGTGAGGGGAAAACTTCGGTAGTTTCCATCTATCTCCATGTTGAACTGTTTTATGTGCTTACTGTATCCACTTATGATTGTATTATTATGGAAACACGCTTATGAACAATATAACTTTGTATAGGACCCGTTTGAGCCCTAGAGCCGACCGGAGATCTCTCCATTTGTTGAAAGCTTCCCGATGTCGACTCTCGTCTTATTCCGACGCCTGGCACTCGACAGAAGTTGTGTTTTCTTTGTCTTACGTGGAGTTTGCGTCGGGGTTTGCAATGAACTACAAGCCGGTCTCTTTGAATCCATCGTCTACTTTTGTGGAAAGTTGACCAAAGTTTTGTCGCTCGAGTTGTCCTACGATACGGAGATTGGCGGCGAATACACAAACCTGCCTGACATAGCCAGGTGAGCGTAAACGCGCATGATGTCACAGTCTCAAATCCGTCCCGAATCCCTCTTATTTATTTCACTGTACAGGATTATAGAGGCGATCGCAGTGATCAGAGAAGGGCAAGTATGTTTAAGCAAGTATGGGTTAGAAAAACGGGTATTTTTAACATAAAATGTTGCGCAATGCACCTTTAATGTACCTAATGTACAGTATTCACGCATTAAGGTACAGTTTACATTTTTATTTCTTCAGTTCTTAAAAAAAGTCTTATTTGATTTTTAAAAAGTCTGCAGAAACCCTGCCTACACAACTGTGGGTTAATAAATACGTTTATAAGGAGCGCTGGGACTCACGCGTGTTGGCTCTGGCCGGCTGGTTGGTTGAGGCGGCGTTCCCGGGACGAACACCGGAGGGCTGAAATCTGGTGTTTGTGGTTTGAGAGCCGCCACCAGTGGACAGGTTTGGATTGGGTTGAGTTATAGTGATGACCGTGCCGGTCTGTGGACCCGCGTTGGGTTTCTGTGGTCTCGTGGACAGAGAGATGGAGGGTTGTTGGACTCTGATGGTTTGCGTGTTGGTCGGTTGTTGGATTCTGGTTGACAGTGAGCTTTCAGGTTGGGATCCTATGCCCTGTGAGGATGTACGACCATTTTCAGAGACCAAGGGCGGCCCGCCGGTGTCAAGCACCTCGGCTAGTCTCTGGTTAAACTTGACAGCCGAAGCCGAGTAATGGTAACCCGGTCCAGCAGGACAGATCTCCTTGAAGGCAGCTGTGAACACAAGGTTACATGCTGAATACCTGTAAACATCTAATCCAGTTGCATTGTTTGGATTCTTAAAGGAGTAATTCACTTCAGAATTATAATTTCCTGATAATTTACTCTCCCCCAAGTCATCCAAGATGTCCATGTCTTTCTTTCTTCCGTCGAAATAAATGAAGGTTTTTGAAGAAAACATTCCAGGATTTCTCCATATAATGGACTTCAATGGGGTCCAATTGGGTCGAAGGTCCAGATGTGAGTTCGAAGTCTCGACACGATCCCAGACAAAGAGTAACGGTCTTATCTAGACAAACCAGTGGACATTTTCTAAATAAAATAAACATTTATATTCTTTTTAACCACAAATGCTCGTCTAGCACTAGCTGTGATCCGCCACACATTACGTTATCACGTTGAAAAGGTCACGCGTGACGTAGGTGGAAGTACAGACCTAGTGTTTACTAAATCAAACACCCTTTACAGTAAATAAATAAATAGAAGGTAAAAACTAATGTCAGACGATTTTCAAGATACTCTTTACCGCCTACATCAAGGTTACCGCTTGACCTTTCCAACGTGATTATCGTGAAAATCGTGAATGTGCAAGACGAGCATTTGTGGTTAAAAATATATAAATGTTTGTTTTTGTTATAAAATGAGAGATGGTTTGTCTAGATCAGACTCTTATTCCTCGACTGGGATCGTGTTGAGGCTTTGAAGTTGCACTGAAACTCACATCTGGACCTTGAACCGTTTGGTTCCCATTGAAGTCCATTATATGGAGAAAAATCCTGGAATATTCTCCTCAAAAACCTTAATTTCTTTTCAACTGAAGAAAGAAAGACATGAACATCTTGGATGAGGTGGGGGTGAGTAAATCATCAGGAAATTTACATTCTGAAGTGAACTAGTGCATTGAGCCAGGAAAGGGAAGGGTCAACCGGGACAGCGTTAGAACCACAACTTGTGGTATTTAAGCGAAGACAGACAAATCACACAGTAAATCTCCTTTGATATTCCTTCAGACATTTTTAAAGAAATATTGCTGGTGGTGTGGGTGGGACGGGGTCATTGAGGAACATTTGGACTCTTTGTGTTAAAACCAAATCATGTTGTTTCAATATTCTGTACTAAGACGTAACGTTCTCAGCGGTGTCATCCGTCCTTCTTCCGATTTTTTGCCCAAACTTATATGTTTATTCCAATGTAGTTATTTGAAAAGACAAATGCATTCTTTGAGTGCCTGAAAAGCCTCTCACCTGAGCCGAAGAAAGGGCATAACTGGCACTTCTTCCCCCAGGCTTTTCCCACTCGACTGCAGCAGCAGATCTGCTTTGTGATGTTCCTCAAGATGGGAAGAGAACAGGAGCCCTGGTTCAGGATACGGAAACACTGGTCCTTCTCCTCCGAGATCACCTTCTGCGCTACGAGCGGAAAAACAATGCAGAATATAATTATATAGGAGAAACAGGTTGGGATTGGAATCTAAACATGCAACCGATCGTACATGCAGATATTAATGCATTCATTTATAATCATACTGCTTCTTGAAGTGACTTAAGTGGTCTTTTAAAGGGTTAGTTCACCCAACAATAAACATTCTGTCCCCCTCATGTCGTTCCAAACCTGCATGACTTTGTTTTTTACTGTGGAGCACAAAAGCAGGAGTTTAAAGGAATGTTCACGCTGCTCTTTTCCATTCAATGAAAGCATCAAGATATCAAAACTCATACTCATACTGTACTTTTGAAGCCATAGCCTTGTGAAAAAGAGAAATGATTAGTTTCTCTTGCATTATTATTAACTAAGAGTGCTTTTTTTGGTCCGCACAAGTAGAACTTCAGTACATCTTTATAAATAACTTCATAATTATGTCTGTTTTTTACTGCATTTTTATTGTTACACCTTAAAAGGCACTTAAAATGAAAACTTTTAATGTGAAATTCTTACTAAATGCACTTTTTAAAAGTGTACTTAATTGTGTTGAGAAGAAACAGTCACGAATGTATGGAAGCTTGTTTCTGCCACAGAATGAAAAATAAAAAAGGTAATTGAGACTTTTTATCTCGCAAATGTGACTTTTTTTCTCTCAATTTAGAGTTAACATCTCGCAATTCTGACTTTATTTGTCAGATTTGTGAGATATAAAGTCAGAATTACGTGATATAAAGTCCAAATTGTGTGATATTAAGTAACAATTGCGTGTTATAAAGTCATAATTGCGAGATACAGTATAAAGTCAGAATTGTGTGATAAGTAACAATTGTGTGTTATAAAGTCATAATTGCGAGATATAAAGTCAGAATTGCGAGATATAAAGTCAGAATTGCGAGATATAAAGTCAGAATTGTGTGATAAGTAACAATTGCGTGTTATAAAGTCATAATTGCGAGATATAAAGTCAGAATTGCGAGATATAAATTCACAATTGCGAGATAAAGTCAGAATTGCGTGTTATAAAGTCAGAATTGCGAGATATAAATTCACAATTGCGAGATATAAAGTCATAATTGCGAGATATGATGTCATAATTGCGAGATATAACGTCATAAATGCGCGATATAACGTCATAATTGCGAGATATAACGTCATAATTGCGAGATATAAAAGACAGAATTGCGAGATATAACGTCATAAATGAGCGATATAACGTCATAATTGCGAGATATAACGTCATAATTGCAAGATATAACGTCAGAATTACGAGATATAACGTCATAATTGCAAGATATAACGTCAGAATTACGAGATATAACGTCATAATTGCAAGATATAACGTCAGAATTGCGAGATATAAAAGACAGAATTGCGAGATATAGTTGAAATTGTGTGTTGTAAAGTCAGAATTGTGAGATATAAACATGAGAATATGAGAAAATGTGTCAGAATTTTGAGATGTAAACTCGCAATTGTGAAAAAAAAAAACCTCAAATCTTCTGTCTTTTTTTCTCACAATTGCGACTTTATCAGAATTGCGACTTTTTATCTCTCAATTGCGACTTTATTTCTCACAATTCTGACTTCATATCTCGTAATTGTAAACAAAATAACATTAATAATAATTTTCAGATTTTTGTCTGCTGTTTTTTTAACCCCCCCTCATGACAGAACTCTATTGTATGGCTTATAATTTAGTGCACAACTTAAACTGTTAATCACTGTTTACTTTCATTGTATGGGAAAAGAGCAGCTTGGACGTTCTGCAAAACATCTCCTTTTGTGTTCCACGGAAGAAAGGAAGGTCGTACGGGGTTGGAGTTGGGAGTAAATGCTTCTTTTGGGAACAATTCCTTCAAGTTGGTTGCGTTTGTCATGGACGTCACACTTGCGCACATAGCTTAACACAACAGCCCCAAGGAAATAAATATTTCTGCTACTCATTCTACATTGACATCATTCTTTACACTTTCGGCGCTTTGATTGGTTCAGCAGCACAAACAAAGTTTAAAGTAGAGCCAGGCACACAATAATCAGCCACAGAGCCACAGATCAGCTTCAGCAAATCACTGCAATAACAACAACGTACACAGCAGGCATTGGTACACTTACCATGCTCAGAATCTCAAGAAGGCTTGACAAGATTCAGACAAGAGGAAAACTTGATTAAAACAGAGTCACAGAATTTCCCAGATGCAAAAACTCAGGCAGAAAGAGGCACCAGAACACCAGAAAACACGGAGCGATCAGTCAGGATAGGCCTGGATTTAAGGATGCATATATGCACGGAGCCGACGGGCATCTCTCAAGCAGTGCCAACAGACCCACAGCGCCACACAGCCAAAGCCTTCACTCATTTGCGTTCGCTTTGTAGTGTGGATTTGAAACTCATGATGTGTTAGCATTGGCCTGTGTATGACTGAGGGCTGTAGCTGTGTGTGTGGCGTGGCTGTCCTCCTCTCGTGTCCGACTGTCCCGTACTTACAGATGCAGATCCCATGAGAGGCGTCCAGTAAGTAGCCCTCTTTGCAGACACAACTGTAGCTCCCTCGGGTGTTTACACAGTTCCCGTTTTCACAGAAACCCGGCTGCAAACACTCGTTAATATCTACACCAGAGGAGGAAACATCACTGTCATAACCTGATGTGTGTGTGTGTCAATACCCTTGTGGAAAAAGCATGCGCTGAATGTCTCTTGGTGGTCGCTATGGTGTTGCTAGGCGGTTTCTAGGGTATTCTGCTGGTTGCTAGGGTGTTGCTAGGTGGTTTCTATGGTATTCTGGGTGGATGCTATGGTGATGCTAGGTGGTTGCTATGGTTTTCTGGGTGGTTGCTAGGGTGTTCTAGGTGGTTGCTAGGGTATCGAATGTCGGCTTGTAGTTTACTTCAAGTCTAATTAAAAAGTTAATATAACATTAAAAAATGAAAGAGAGCACACTTTCATTAATATGATTTTAACACACCTAGTGCACTTTGTAATAATGTTACAAAGTTGACAGTATCTTTTAAATGTTTTGATAAACTCGTGTCGTGCTTTAAAGAAGTACACTTATTTCGATGTGTTGACAAATGTACTAAAATACTTGATCGTAGTGTGTTATTTCATAGTACATGTGAAGTTAGTACTTTTTTAAATGTTCGAAATTGCAACTTCATCATTATAAATGTGTAATCACAAATTTATTAAAATATTTGTAAGTCCTACTTAAGTGGGTCAAAAAAATAAAAAAGACTAATAATAGCATTTAAACTGTAATACATTTTCATGTAATTCTAAATACATGCAATTAAGTGTCCAAAAACACTCAAATTCAGTTTGCACTCAGTTTGTACATTTGGCAATACAGTTAAAGACAATAGAAGTAACTAGAATGTACATTTCCAGAAGAAAATGTGAAGTGGTGCTTGCAGTGGCAAAAGGAGTCAACAACAATGTCTGTACGATGTTCTGGGCCTGAGAAATGGCTTATTCACGTTGTTCAGGTGGTTGCTAGGGTGTTCTTAGTGGTTGCTAGGTGGTTGCTGGAGTGTTCTTTGTGGTTGCTATGGTGTTGCTAGGGTGTTCTGGGTGGTTGCTAGGCAGTTGCTAAGGTAATCTGTGCGGTTGCTAGGGTGTTCTGGGTGGTTGCTATGGTTTTGCTTGGCGGTTTCTAGGGTATTCTGCTGGTTGCTAGGGTGTTGCTAGGCGCTTGCTAGGGGATTCTGGGTGGATGCTATGGTGTTGCTAGGTGGTTGTTATGGTTTTCTGGGTGGTTGCTAGGGTGTTGCTAGGGTGTTCTAGGTGGTTGCTAGGGTGTTGCTAGGGTGTTCTGGGTGGTTGCTATGGTGTTGCTAGGTGGTTGCTAGGGTATTCTGTTGGTTGCTAGGGTATTGTGGGTGGTTGCTATGGTGTTGCTAGGCAGTTGCTAGGGTGTTCTGCTGGTTGCTAATGTGTTGATAGGAGATTGCTAGAGTATTCTGGGGGGTTGCTATGGTGTTACTAGGTGGTTGGCAGTTGTCACATATGGTTACTATAGAGTACTTGTTTTTGGCATGATTTACATGATTACAAATTAAGATTAAGTTGGTTAAAATAGCCAACCACAACTAACTGCATTTACTATAAATTTAAACTGTAATTCATGAATATAACATACATTCAAGTGTATGAAAACATTACATTCAGACAGTACGCACTTAAGTATATTATTTTAAAATGTATTATTTACGTATATTAAAGTGTAGGCCCTGCTTGTTTCCACAAGGATTTGTTTGTCAGACCATGTTAGCCAGACCAGCAGCTATCTGATTGGTGTAGCGATACAAAACATGCATCTGCACCAAATGTCCAGATAAACAGTAAGAGACTGGACGGGCCAGGTTTCGACAGGTTTCTGACGTGTAAAAGTGCAGCTTAGTTTCAATAAAAGGTCTTTTCCAGAAAGCTACAGTGCATTTCCATACAATGAATTTCCATCTTAATCTGAAAAGATCAAATATATTTTTCCTCATAATTTATTCACTTTAAAAAAGAAACTATTCAGAACTTTTTGTAAGGACACCTTGTATTGTGTTGTTCAATGTTAGAAATACAGCACCGTTAATGTAACATAATGAGTGGTTTGAAGAAGCAGGAGAGGAAGAGTAGCATTCAGTGAAGAGAGAGAAAGAGAGATACGCAACAAATCTGGAGTTGTCGTTATTGACCCTGTGACCACCTCCAGCTATGTCTTGATAAATTGATTTCACAGTGTGTTTATCAAACCATCTGGTGTGCCGTTACGGTCAGGATAAAGAGTGGAAAACAATGGCGTAGCTTCTCCTCCGGGACGGCGGTCTCTGGATTCCACAGATATCGACAAATGGTGAAAGTTTCATTCCATCGTAATTACTAGCATGTGAGATTATTTGGAGTACGCAAGTAATTTAGATAGATAGATAGATAGATAGATAGATAGATAGATAGATAGATAGATAGATAGATAGATAGATAGATAGATAGATAGATAGATAGATAGATAGATAGATAGATAGATAGATAGATAGATAGATAGATAGATAGATAGATAGATAGATGAACACTCTTACTCGTTGAACACTCTTACCCACACACTGCGTCCCGTTGACCCGCTCGAAGCCTTTGGGGCAGACGCCCTGTCCGTTCACGGTGTTTCCTGAGGAGAAAACACACACTGATGTGATCTCATGACAACAGCTCAAACTCTGCTCAATAATGCAAAAACACAATCAACCAAAATCAAAATTCATCATCAAAACTGGAACAAATACAACAAAAAACACCCTGAAGCAGCATTTCATCATGACACATTATAGTCTTTGAAAGTAAGATACATACTCTTACATGTATAAGACCAGTCTGTGCATACATATACAGTATATATATATATATATATATATATATATATATATATATTAGGGCTGTGCAAAGTTTAATTGTGATTAATCGCATCCAAAATAAATAATATATATATGTAAATATAAATACTTAAGAAAATGTGTTATTCATGTATACAATATTTATATATAATATAGATTATGTATTTATGTATATATATATATATATATACAGTATTTACGTGCAAATAATTCTTAAATATATACATGCATGCATATGTACATATAAAATAATTATACCCAGCACACAAACTTTTATTTTGGATGCAATTAATCGCAATTAATCTTTGCACAGCCCTAATATATATATATATATATATATATATATATATATATATAAATAATTTAATGCACAGCACTTTTATTTTATTGCACAGCCCTAATATATATATATATATATATATATATAAATAATTTAATGCACAGCACAACATTCCATATTTTAATAGTGAGGGATTTAAAAGGCAGAACCTGGTGAAACATACTTTTAAAAAGAGTACTTATTATGGAAATAATATACTTGGAAAATATTTTTGTTATGAAGTGTGAACAATGTAATATTTTTGACTCTTAATTGTGTGTTATTTACATGTATTACAGTTTAGATTTATAGTAAATGCAACTAGTGGAAGTATTTTGACCCAATGACTTCTAATGTGTGTTTAAAATGAACTGCTGAATTCCGACACACACTTGGTAAACTAAAATATCCTTTAATGCCATTTCTATTGTAAGTTTTCAGATCTTTTCCACAAGGGAAGACATGTTCCCTGATCAGTGTTTTATTTTATTATTTTTATTTCCCCACACAGCCTTCCAGCGCTTCACGGAGAGGAAACAACTGTTTGTCCCTGTGAGGTTCAATATTTGTGGAGCCAACGATCCCAAAGACGGCTTTATTGTTCCAGTCATGATTCAGGCAGCACTGGGTAAATGATTATAATCGTGTGCTTAACATTATCAAGCACTCAGGGTCGACAGGCAGTTATGAAAATATATACATGGCAAATGTTTCTCAGTACAAACAACAGCAGAAAAGCCCTGATCAAAATAACATGTTTAAGAATTATGTCTTCCAAACAAAAGTTCAAATATTGTCATATTTATTGTGTTTACTTGTTTAGCTATGAAGAAATGTAAAGTCACATTTATTTTTGTTGGGCAATGGTGTAATTAATTACTATAGTTATAGAATGGTGCAAATCTTGGTAAAGATTTTATCACTTGCTGTGAACACAAACAAAACTAAAAATCATGGACATGATTCGAAAAGTTTAAATGGTTCTAAAAAATGAATATATTTTTTTAATTTTACTATTGTAAAATTTGGTGCTGCGCACAAACAAAATCTTACTGAAAGCTTTACTTTTTCAAGATATCAGGCTCAAATTTGGAACAAAACTTGTTTACATTTATGGTTTTGATTTTCTCACAGTTTTAGAATAAAACATGTTTTAGAAAATATATATTTCCTATAAGATTTAAAAATATTGTTTGATGCATTTTTTCAGAAAAAAGCAATAATCTTTCACGTGATTCTTTAAAAAGAGACCAAACTGAAGTATGTGCGCCAAAGCATTCAAGATTTACCACAATTTAAGTTTAAATTTAATTTTAGATTAATTCCATAAATACTTATGTACCATATTCAATATATCCATATATTTATGTAAAATTTAGTATCATAAAATCCCCTATAAATACAAAATATTAAATAAAAAAACATAATAAAACTAAAATAAAGCCCATTAATTTCATTGTATGAAGAATTTTTGTCAAAATAAAATCCCTTAAAAATACAAAATATTAAATAAAAAACATAATCAAACTAAAATAAAGCCCATTCATTTCATTGTAATAAAATGAAGAATATTTTTTAAAATAAAATCCCTTAAAAATACAAAATATTAAATAAAAAATATAATCAAACTAAAATAAAGCCCATTCATTTCACTGAAATAAAATCTGGAATTTTTGTTAAAATACAAAATATTAAATAAAAAACATAATCAAACTAAAATAAAGCCCATTCATTTAAAATAAAATGTAGAATTTTTGTTAAAATAAAATCCATAAAATACAAAATATTAAATAAAAAACATAATCAAACTAAAATAAAGCCCATTCATTTCATTGTAATAAAATGTAGAATTTTTGTTAAAATAAAATCCCATAAAAATACAAAATATTAAATAAAAAACATAATCAAACTAAAATAAAGCCCATTCATTTCATTGTAATAAAATGTACAATTTTTGTTAAAATAAAATCCCCTAAAAATACAAAATATTAAATAAAAAACATAATCAAACTAAAATAAAGCCCATTCATTATATTGAAATAAAATGTAGAATTTTTGTCAAAATAAAATCCCCTAAAAATACAAAATATTAAATAAAAACATAATTGAACTAAAATAAAGCCCATTCATTTCATTGAAATGAAATGTTCAATTTTTGTTATGCTACTTTTGCTATGCATTGTCTTTTCTTTACTACATACCATCGCAATGTAATTATAATGAGATTTAGGCAATATTGCAATTACACTTTAACTCATGTAATACGTAGATGCTCATAAACGTAGCAGCCATAACCATAGTAAAACATGCCGATTTTAATCACAATAACCAGGCATGTACACTAATGGCATCTAATGTACTCTGGCCAAAGTGTGCATGTGCATCTTTCTTTTGCTGTTGAAGAAAGTGTTCCATGTTCATGAGTTCATGAATATAATGCAGTACACTGATGCTGCAAAACATTGAAATGGTGACTTTTTTAGGGTTTTCGCTGAAAAAATGGCCAGTAACACGCCTCCCGCATGTGTGTGTTCATCATTACTGCTGTGCATGTGAGAATAGTCCGAATAATAAAAATTGTGTCATGTAAACACCTTTCTTACATAATTACATTATTGGAGCACATTGTGACAACTTACCCCATATAGTTATAATATGCCCTGTTATTGAGGCCACAGTATGTTTTGAATATGCATTAAGATCTCAATAATAGTGGATTATGTCACTGCGTCACTATATTTAATAAACGATAGCGGTGCTGAAGTCATCTTCTGTTTAAGACACGAAAGCGTTCATCAAGACGACGAGGAGTGTAAGTATGCTGTAATGTTTAGCCAGCGGCGGGTCGAGCACCTTGACTTTTATAATAATAATAATAATAATAATAATGATAATAATAATAATATAGTAGCAGGACTTAAATGTGCCGTCTGCCAAACAACTCTCTAAGCTATGTTTATCTCATGAAGTCATGCGGCGACTGCTCTATTTCTGTTTTACAAGATAGACGTGTTTTTCTAGCCAGCACAACTGATATCAGCGTGCGTGTGTGTTGGAGTTTACGAGTTAAAAAGGAACAAACCTGTGTTTTATTCCCTCTTTGTGCTCAAAGTACAAACTGTGCTGCTATAAACAGTCAGAGTGTTTATATCTGAAACCTGTGTGTGTGTGTGTGTGTGTGTTCACCTGAGAGCGCTGGGCAGAGTGTGCACTCGCTGATCCCCCAGGCTTTCCCGAGTCCTCTGCAACACATCTCCTGACTCCGCAGGCCGGGTAACGGAGAACTGCACTGTGGGATGGGACAGAACACACACATTATTCCCTCAAACATCGAGTGTTGACACAGTGCTTGTCGGTTAATTCTCTTTCCCTCAAAGGTTTCCTCGAGTAATGAACGAATTATCATGATTTAGAGAGAAGAATCTCTTCCGTTTCTCCAGGGGAATCGTCCCTGTAGTAAAAAAGACACACTTCAGCAAGCTGATACGGCGGGGAAGATGTTTTCGGTACACTGCATTTGCCGCTCAGCATGATCACATGACATTCAAAATGTTTTACCATAAACAAGTCGTTCCCAATTAATCCAACATATCCCAGGACTCAAACAGACGCCCTGTTGTTATAATAACGAGTGAAAGCAGAGGAGCTCGGAGCCAACCTGTCCGTTCCGCACTTCCCTGAAGCAGTATTTGAAGCCGGACGCCTCGGTGTAGACGGAGTCCCCGCGGAGGGTCTGGGCCTGGACCTGCGGCGCCGGCGCCTCCGCTTTCTCTCCGGGAAGCTGAAGGTGTCTCGGGCGAGCTCCGGAAAGCCCCGCGGACCAGGTGACGGTCTCCGAGCGCTCGTGTCCCGCCGGCCCGTAACCCACCTTCAGCACCTGGTGGATCTTCACACTCGCCTCGGGAGGGTGTTGGACTCGAACCTTCACCATGGGGGACGCTGAGAGACACACACAGATTCAGATTTCATCATTCAGTGATAAAGACGGTCAGGAATGTTTTTGACCCGGTGGACATCCAGGAGATAAAACACGTTTCTCACTCTCACTGGTTCCATTTGAGCTTTGTAAACACACACACACCCAACCAGGAGTAGTTCACTTAATTTCACGAAAAGAAATTACGATTTTTGATGAAAACATTCCAGGATTTTCTCCATATAATGGACTTCAATGGGAACCAAACGATTCAAGGTCCAAAAGACACTTTCAGTGCAAACTGTTCAAAGGGCTTTAAAACGAAATCTTATCAAGCGAAACGATCGCTCATTTAAAAAAAAAAAAAAAAATCGAACAAAGTTTAAGTTTTATAAGCTCAAATGCTCACCTTGCTGTGTTCTGTGATGCACGTTCGTGACTCTCCTGTTCGAACTCGCTCATCAAAATGAACGAATCATTTTTCGTGTAATTTGGTTCATTCAATGAACAAAATGAACGAGTCGACTCGTTCATTTTAGATTCGTTCATTTTGATGAATGAGTTCGAACAGGAGAGTCACGAACGCCCATCACAGAACAGAGCAAGGCGAGGATTTGTGCTTATAAAACTAAAACTTTGTTATTTATTTATTGAATCGTTTTGCTTGATAAGACCCTTATTCATCGTCTGGAATTGTTTAAAGCCCTTTGAACAGTTTGCACTGAAACTCTCATTTGGACCTTGAACCGTTTGGTTCCCATTGAAGTCCATTATATGGAGAAAAATCCTGGAATGTTTTCATCAAAAACCTTAATTTCTTTTCGACTGAAGAAAGAAAGACATGGACATCTTGGATGACGTGGGGGTGAGTGAAATATCAGTAAACCTTTTTTTTTTTTAAGTGAACTACTCCTTTAAGTAGTTACGTTTCAATTGATTTTATATTTTTAAATTTGATTAATCAATCGGCTTTATAACTAGGACAAATAGGAAAAACCTGTTAAACTTGAAAAGGCTATTATGCAATCATTTCAGACATTTCTTCTTATATAGAGCCTTTCTGGCATATAAGACCCTGAAACGTGGTTAGTTTTTATTTTTTTTTTTTTTTTTTTTTTTTTACTGGAAATTATGTAAATTCCTACAACAGTGTAATTTCTACCACCATCTCAAATTATATTTGATGTAAAGTCAAATAAATTATGGAGTGTGTTTATTAGCATTTGATGATGGAAATGGCTATTTAAATAGTTTTGAAATAAAATTGCAAACTCATTTTTCTGGCTGAAGCGAATTTCATTTCTTGCATCCTAAATACATAAAAAACAAAAAAAACAAACACATAAATATTTGTACACGCTGAAAAAAAAAAAAAAAAACTTGTGTAAAATATACAAACAGTTTTCACTCAGAAATTGCCAGTAAATAAATACAAAGAAACGGCAAGTTATGCATTGCATTAAACATAAACTTCATATATTTATTTACGATTAAAAATAGTATTTTCTTGTAAAACATACTCCAATGATATTTGTTTTATTCACAACTTAAAAAAAAAATACAGTGCACTTTTGGACTTTCTAGGAAAGGATGCTTAATAATAATTAAAAAAAACCTATTCAGAACTAAGTGATATTAATTTTTTTTTCAATTTTTTAAGTTATTTCATTCAACACTTCATTAAAAATCCTTTTAAAAGAATCAATCGAAAAGTAAAAAGTAAAAAAAAAGTTATTCTGTGAGTTGTGCGAGTTATTCTGATGTGCCTCATTTGACAGCGGGCATTTGAAAAGCAAATATATGAATATAAATGATGAAGGCATGTTAAAAAAAAATCCATCTAAACATTGTGAAGAGCCTTTATAATCAAAACACACACTAATGAATAGACACAGATCACGTCTTTAGTCCTGGAAATGACACTCAGGACAGAGCAAAATAAAGTTGTATGGCGTCTCGCACAAACAAACGGATGCTCCAGAAACAACAGAGGGAGAAAGAGAAATCACAGAGAGCATCCAAGTCAGATCTCTGAAAACAGAAGACTCATTCTCCCGAAACATGTTCTAGCTCTGAGTCACCATTATACCTCCCGCCTCTCGGAGATTAAACTTGGCAAAACGCTCGTCCAATTAACCCTTCCCGCGCCGAACAGCTGGCAAAGGCAATCCAGGGCTCTGCGTTTCATAAGAGGTCTGTGATCAAAAGTGCCAGAACTGAGAGAAAGCAACATGAACGCAACATCAGGTTCAGTTTGGGATTCAGAAAGTTACACAACAGTCTTTAGCGCTCACAAGCCGAAGTGACGGGCGCTTGCACAATGTTTTTAGTTCTCTCTGGCACTGCTGTACAGTTTACTGGAACCGTGCAGCAAATATCACACACATGTATAGTGTAAAAATAGCATAATATTCACCATTAAACGGTTTAAGATTACGCCATTTTTACAGCGTGCTGAAATGTAATGATTTGAAGAGTTGCATGTGTATTTTTCCACACTGCATGCTAAATGTAACTTGTAATTTTAGTTTCTCGCCATGTTATTTTCTGTTATGAGCATCAATTCAGAACTAAACACACATTGATTTACAGCATTTTTACGAAACACAGTTTTGTCTCCTAAAAGAAAGAATCGATTCTGAACTGCCTGAAACGAGTCGTCAATGATTCCAATCTGGAACCAACGTGGGTTTGTAACTAATTTGCATAATGGCAGCCCATTGGCTGAACAGTGCCTATTAGCCCCGCCCTCAAACACTGTAGTGTATCTGAGACTGGAACACTCTTAAAAGAAAAGGTTCTATATAGAACCTTAAAAGGTTCTATCAGCGCTACATATTTGGAATCCCTAAAAGGTTCTATACACTCTTAAAAAATGGTTCCTATGGGTTCTATAGAACCCTAGGGTTCCATACTTGGCCAATAGAACAAAAAAAATGGTTCTATATAGAACCATTTTGGAGTTCCATTTATGAAGCGGGGGATGGAACCATTTCTGGTTCTAAGAGTGAAGAGTTCGGTTCGTCGAGTAGACGCTGTTTTCTGCTGACAAAGCAAATCCACTTTGAGGAGATTGATACGGTAAAACCCACGCCATCGTTACTGTTCGTATCACTGTGATCAAGAGCTGAGATTCATGATCATGTTTGATTAGTTTCCAACCAATCACAGCAGAGCAGCTCTGAGAGAGGCGGGGTTTAAAGAGACCTGATCGAACCGTTTCAGACTCTGAGAGAAAAGAGCTGATTATGAGGAAATTAAAGTGTTTTTTTGACACTGAATGCATGTAAATCTATTTTAAGGGACCTTCAAAAAAAAAAGATATAATACAGACACTTTAGATAAATTCTTGTGGTCTTTTCTGAACATGCCCCAAGTCTAAGTGAGGTTGTGTAGTTCATCATGTCTTATCAGCAGAAGGTTCTGGAGGGCTTCAGATGTGGCGCTGGTCCATTATTCTCCCTGCCAGAACTGAATGACCTCACCCGAAACATGGAAACTCAGATGAGTTAGCACATTACTGCCTGATTAAATAAACCAACACTGAAAAGTAAACACATCAGCAGATACGGCTGTCAGATCGTGATTATAATGGGAAATGCAGTTCAAAGATACTGTAGATGTTTATTATCTGTAGATTATTAAGCATGAGTAAAAAAAAGATACGAAACTAGTATGCGCTAAACTATTTAATCATACGCAAACGTGTTTTAAGCTAAGCTAAGTACATTATACTGATATTTACTGCTATTATAATACTTAAAGTCTTCTAAATTTGAACAAATAGTTTTGTGCTTAACGCTCTTTATTGTTGAGGTCCAACTTAAGATATACTTAAGTATATTGGATTGTGCTAAAGTGGAACTATTGCAAGTATACGTAAATAACTTGCATTTAAAGACTGATATTATACAGTGATCACTATCCTAATTAAAAGTGATATTATAACACATTTTAGGCTAAATATTAAGAAATGTGTATTGTGCAGCAAAGAAGTACTCCACATAAAGTTTAATTATAATATTTATATCATTAAGTCTCAAGCGATATAAGTCAGTAAATATGTTAATGGTTTTTGTACTTTATTTAGTATGAAATAAATTTATTATATATATATTTTGCTATGTTTTTTTTTAAATAAGGTTGTCTGATGAAAAGCATAATTTTAAAAAAACATATTGTACTTACTCCAACCACTGTACTTAACCACAAACTCAATGTAATGTTTTCAGACACTTAATTGCATGTTAATTACAATTTTTTGATATGAAATGGTATTAGTTAAACATTAGACTTAAGTCTCTTAAGACTTAAAACCTAAATATGACTCTTTAAATGTATGTAATTACTTCTATTGTCTTTGAAATAGGGTTAAAACTATATAATTTGATATAATTTCTATCAAAACTTGTGTCTCATATATATATATATACTATACACTACATAAGTACACGTAAATGCACTAAATTGCAACAACAAATATAGTTTATATATATATATATATACTGTATAAAACTGTTGCAATTTAGTACATTTACGTGTACTTATGTAGTACATAGACATTAAAGTGCACTTAATTCCATTATTTGAAATTATCTGTAAGTACAGTTCCTTAAAAAATATACACATTCAAGATTTAAAGTCCACAACAATTGAACATTCAATACAATTAACACACTTCTTTCACACGAGTGTCATGGGTCAAATGCATGCAGAAGTCGATGAAAACACAACACTCTCACTAAACAACAGACTCAACTCAACCCAAAACAATTATTATGACTTATTAATTTTGTTTAGTTACTCTACAACTAAACTGTTAAATCTACAGTAAGAAGTAGTTCACTTCGATGATCTACCTGTGAGAAAGTAACTGAAGAAGTGATACAGGATCATTCTGGCATGGCCTCAATTCCTCATCCCTGTAAAAAATAATCCTGTAAAAAAAACGGTAAACTACGGGCAGCTGTGGTTGCCAGCATCATACCGTAACTATACAGTGTGTTACTGTTTTTGTGTTAGAGCATATAGCTGTTAAATTAAAGTTTTATACTGTAGCGGACAATACGGTATTTAGCTGTTAATTTCAAAAACAGTAACACGCCGTATTTTTACAGTATGATGCTGGCAACCACAGTTTACCGTTTTTTTACCGGATTATTTTTTTTACAGTGCTCTATTTCCTGTCACTCTCCATTACATCTGTCTAATAAAGAGGCAAAATGCCAAAACATATATATTAAAATGCCATAATGTCTTAGTTAAGGCTCTCAACTCTGTGCAACCGGTGATTTCCTCGATGTCATTCGGCCTCCCAGAACAACAAACCCACACAAAACCAAGTCTTGATGTCATGACACATCATCCATTCAAGATATTCCAGGTGTTATGCCATCTGCATGATGCATCAGATGCGTTTCTACTGTAATTCATCACAGGACTCTAATATGAAAAGGCTGGTGCTGCCATTTATGGATGGCATCCAATGTGAGAGCTGCAGCCAAATGAAAACAGAAAATAAATGACGCCAGTCTGAGACACAGTCATTTTTCACCTTCACAGCAGTCTATATGTGGCCATGAGCTGTAGTGCCAGAACACATAATACTCTCCATGACAATCTGAACAGCTAATTTATGTTAAGTCTTGACTTAGTAATGCATTTCATTGTCTAATAAAGATAACGTTCAACATGTGCAAACGGTAATGTTGTAAAAGATTTGATGAAACAGGGTGTGCTTGTTAAAAGCTTATTAACTCATAATTCATTCTGAAATGAAGTGAAAACAGTTTTATAATTGAATAGAAACGGTACTTATTTTATCAGGCTCCTCCCCTTTTGGGCATCATTATATTTCATAATTTATGATCAAAACCTTTTCTAATCTTGACAAAACACATATTGTCAGAAAGGTCTGTGTCTCAAGGTCCCAAATTTTGTGACAGAATTGATATTTGGACAGAAATGTATTAATTTGTTAAGGCAGAATGTAAACAACTAAATTCAATGGCACCCGGTGGCTATTTTTGGTACTACGACTAAACGAAATCTCAACTTCAATTTTTGTGATATTAAATTCAAATTTGGAACATAACTTGGTTAGATTTATTGCTTTGATTTTAGAGTAAAAAATATTTTGTAAAATATATATTTTATATAAAATACAAAATATGTACACTACATTTGATTTACTGTAAATTTAAACTTCCATAACTTTTTCATACTTTCATTTTTCGAACTGTTTACTTTTAAACAAGACCAAACTTAGGTTTATATTCCAAAGCAATGCATTTTAACCCCCATTCTCAAAAAGGGGGGGTGACAGCAAAGGGGTTAAGTGCACTTTAGCATGCTTTAAAAAGAATATATTATTGTAATAAGTGTTCAACCCATTTGCCTTAATATGATTAAGTAAATAAACTTAATACTTAATTGAAAAAAAAATAAGTTATGTGAACTTGACAAGTCCACATACTTTTTTTTTTTTTTTTTTTTTGATTTAAAGGGATACTCCACTTTTTTTGGAAATAGGCTCATTTTACAACTCCCCCAAAGTTGAGTTAAACTGTTGAGTTTTACCTTTTTTGAATCCATTCAGCCGATATCCGGTTCTGGCATTTTAGCATAGCTTAGCATACACCATTGAAGTGCACAAGACCATTAGCATTTCTCCCAAAAAAATTGCCAAAGTGTTTTGATATTTTTCCTATTTAAAACTTGACTCTTCTGTAGTTACATCGTGCACTAAGACAGACGGAAAATGTAAAGTTGCAATTTTCATTGCCTCTCACCATTGGTGTTGGTCAGCTCCGGCGTCTGGAGCGGCAGGATGTACTCAGACGTCATCGGCTGATTGGCCGAATCCACAGCTCTTCCCGCTGGTTTCTCGATGTGATTGGTGAAGGAGGAGGTTTGGACGGGGATGTGGCAGAACTTCCCCGTGAAGTTTGGCGGGCAGAGACATTGATCCTTCTGTACACACACTCCTCCGTTCTTACACAGCATCGGACACAAGACTGACAGAGAGAGGGAGGGAGAGTCAATGACATCACTCATCAACACCAGAAAGAAATGACGCAATTATTGTTCGAAAAAACACAATAATGTTTTCATGAAAGCCACATAACAGACAGCACTGAAATAGTGTGTATTTGAATGGATGTTGTTAACACAGAGTTATGAGTCTCTCAAAATGGAGAGTTTCTATAAAAAGCAACATTTTTATTTCATTAGTGAACTCAGCATGCCTTCCCTATCATATGTCTGTACTGTATTTATATGTTTGGAAAGCTTAGACCAGGCTCATGCCTAAAAAAAGAAAGAAAGAAATGTATAATGTGAGAGAGAAATAGAGAGAGAGAGAGTTGATCTTTTTGCAGTATTTAAGCAGAAGAAGAGCTGCTAAAACAACAGCAAATAAACTCAATGAAAGAGAGAGAGAGAGAGAGAGAGAGAGAGAGAGAGAGAGAGAGAGAGAGAAAGAGAGCAAGCCTCCAGTCTGTTACACATCAAATCATATCACATTTCTAATGTGACTATCCTTTATTAGCCTATTATTTTCCAACACTTCCACTCCAATAATGCCATCAAAAAACAGTGTTCATGTTCGGCAATTCCTGATAAAATCAAAGCCTGCACTACATATTTCTATTATCATATTAATTTATTATTATATATGATTAAATATATAGCGTTGTCATGTGACCACATAGGAAATCTGGGACTCAAAATGAAATTTAATCCTAAAAAAAAAGTCTCAGACTTTCGGACCCAATCATATGTCAGATTATTCATATCAAAATGCTTTCATATTTGAAGTTGACATGAAATTTAGTGAGAATAATTTAAAAATCGTATCTAATATACCAGACGGGTTGTTTTAACCCAATATTTGAGTTTGTCCATATATGACCCAAACAACCCGTCTGGGATATCTTACTGGCAGGCACCAGTATACAAGTTTAACAAGTACGTAAAGTACTTTCCTTTAGTTATTTCAGCTCTTATCTACAACAATGCATGAAAGACAACACACTGTTTTAAAACTTTTAGCAGGAATGAAGCGCACTGAGAATATGACAAACAATACATTATCTTTATTTCTTTAGAGTAAACACACACAAACAGAGAGGAGACAGTTGAGATATGCCGGCGTTGGCTGACCCATTTCCCCCAGCTGTCGGTGACAAGAGTTTGTGTGTGTGTGTGTGTGTGATGTGAGAAATCTGTGCAGTTTAGTTTTGGGACTTTGGGATGCTGAGATCACTCAAACAATTATTTTCAGTGAGATGAGATATACTTTTTGTTTCTTATCCTTAATTTTTACGGCGCTGATTCGCTCCTGTACGAATGGCACATTACTTTAAAGGGTACATATCACGCTTTTAAATCATTCATTTTTACATATAAATCATACCGTTGTGGTCTATATAAAACATAACTGCAATGCTTGGGTCTGAATTCCTCATTATTATAGCTCCACAAGCCCCTTTTCTGATGTGCGTCTGTGAGCGACCCGTTTCAAAGCGGCCCCTTTAAATAAAAAGGAGATGCGTCACACCCCGCCCGCTCTCCAGGTCGATGAGTTCACGGTCGGTTCAACTCCCCACGTTCGGCCATTATTGTAGTTTGATTAGAGATATACGATCATATACGATATTCACACGTTAATAAAATGTCAACAACGGAAGACTTGTCCATCAAGCCTTACATATTCGAGCCAGAGCGAGTTGATAAAGACGACGACGAACCTGCAGAACAACCTTCATATGGATGTATTGGTATGTGAGCTAACTGTTTTGTGTTATTAGTGAAAGTCGACTATTTCTCTTGTTAAAACAAGCACACTGACAAGATAAATGACTACGGTCTAATCTTACCACAAACAATCTGTATTGATAATATGATACGTTTAGAAAAGCATCAGAAAACAACGCAGCTAAATGAGCATTGATGAAACTCAAGAACAATAATACTGCAGATGTGTAACGTTACTTCAAAACAACGACAAAGAAAGACAAAGGTACTGCTAAACCATGACCACCATGTGTTTTAAGAAAGTACAGTACTTATTAACGATATTTACAGCTTATCGAAACGCTCTGTTCGTCTCCGCTATACTACGCACATGGCACCCGTTATCGTTAATATAACACGCGCTGTGATGGATAGGTTTAGGTGTGGGGTAGGGTAGTCTCATATTATGCTAAAGGATTTATTACACCTTGGGTTCGAGTGTTATATTAACAATAACGGGTGCCATGTGTGTAGTATAGCACCGTTTTGTCATATAGCGTTCTATGTGACGCTAAGGATGAGAACGGGCTGGCACAAACACACAAGATAATTGTGGAGATGATCTCATTCGCTGTATACTAACCATTACCTTGTGCTTTATACAAATGAAACTGTATCGTAACACAGACCACTATAGATGTAAATGAGAAAGCGAGGGGTGTGTGAGATTGGGCGATGTTTAGAGATGACAGTGGTGTGAGTTTAGCTTCAGCTCATCCGCCTAAACATCAACAGCTGGCAACACACTTCATTATATTAAAGCTGGAAATCTGCAGTCTCATTTTCTAGCTTTCCACCTTCATTTCTGGACCAGATATTCTGTTGTTTTGAATCTAATGAGCGTTCGGATAAATATTGGCTCCATCCAGATAACAGGAAGCCAAATCTACACTTTCAGTGAGGGGGGAAATATGTAAATAACATTCTTTTGAAACGATGAAAGGCCAGGAATACACCGCTTGACTGAAACAACAAGATGATAAAACTCCTGACAGGAGATGAATGGAAGAAAAAGCCATTTTCATTGGAGACGCTCCAAGCTCTCATTTGCACTTCAAAGATTCAGATTCATTCAGAGAGTCTGCTATCTTCATCTTAAATGAAGAGATCCTGCTGGTCATGGGTGGACCAGTGTAAGGGTTGTGTTTAAAAGGCTCAAATTAGACATATGCATGTTGGGAATGGGAGTCTCAAGAGAGGATTTTATCCACACGTGTACACATGAACTTCAAAGCTGAATGCATTAACCCTCGAGTCAAAGGCAAATTAAAGAAACGTGATGCTGCGAATCAATTCATGTCAATGCATGAAACATGCTGACGGAGGGATTCGCTGACCAATGAGAAAATGTATTGAGGCTACATTATGGAGTCAATTTTGTGCCATAATTAAACAAACAAACTCGATCTGCTTTGCAAAGGAAACTCGACTCGCAAAGCAATGAGTAAAAGTCAATTTGTAAAACCTGATGAGTTAGTTCAACTCAAACCGATTGCCTTAAATCATTTAAGTTTATTAACTCAAACAATTTAAGCATAAAAAAATGTTTGATTTTTTTCCAAGTAACTCAATAACTTATTGTTAAGATAACTTGGGTAAATAAAGTTAATAGTACTAATTAGTCACTATAACTTAAATCTATACTCCCAGCCGTTTCAGTTCGTCTAAATTTAAATAAATAATTTCATAAAACTCAAAACAATGAAACAGTTCAGTTTACTTGAAATATATCAGTTCTGTGAACTTGAAAGAAATAGAAAGTGCTAAATACTCATACAAAATAATTTAACTGAACTAATTCGTTGAATTTAAGTTTGTCCTACTCAAACCAATTAATTATTTTGACCGTTAGTGTTTACAGTGATCAATGAGCCTAGTTAATATTTCACAAATAAATACAAACCATGCATGTAACCTTTTGAACGAATACCAAATCTAGTGCATGCAAATGCATATCTGTCTGTTACGATTGTGAGACTCATGGCTCGGTTTTCTCACAAATGTGTCCAGGCAGATTTTGGAAACCTGCTTTAGTGATTACATGCCCGTGTGGAGTCAGAAGCATATAAAGCTATACACCAGGGTTCAAAAGTTTGCTGTGCAGAATTACAAACCTCTCTGATATACTTCACCTAATGTCGAGGCATGATTGCATGGAAGAATTTTCCATATCGTGACAACTAGGATGACACATGAATCTTTTATGAAACATCCACACACATGTACAGTAAATGCACCATAACACACATGTTGTGAACGCCTGATAGTCTCTGGCTCTCTGCCATCGTCCAGATGTTTCAGGGCCCTGAGCTCCACTGCAGGTATAATAATGAACCCTCAGAGATACGGCACACATATATGTGCGAGTGAGAACAAATAGCTGCTTGATTTTTCTTCCGTTTCCCCCTTTCTCCACTGATTTCAGCTGAAGCAGAGGAAGGATCGCATGCTTGTATTCGGCACCACGTGTTCGCCTCTCTGTTCATCCAAAGCCCACAGCCTGCTATTGGAGGAGACTTACAACCAGCCCTGCACACACGTGCCTCAGATCGCTTACAGATGCTCAGTGCATCTGCATTCATACACACATACACTCATCTTCAAACCCAGGCATCCAGACTAAAAAAATAAAGAAAGCTCTTCAGAAGTGCTTCAGTTCATTGAGCTTCTCACTTATATTTTAATATATAGTTTTTGTTTTAGCAGTCTCCTACACCTCTTTTCGTTCAGTATCTGAAATGGTTCGATCAAGGATTCAGTCTCTATAAACCCCGCCCTATGTGAGAGCTTCTCTCCTCTGATTGGTCAGATTGCCCAGTCTGCTGTGATTGGTCTGAAACCAAACACTCATTATCATATCTGAATCTCTGAATTTGAACCAAACTCTTCCAGTCTCAGATACTCTACAGTGTTTGAGGGCGGAGCTAAGAGGCACTGATCAGCCAATGGAGACCACAGGAAGGCATTATGCTAATTAGTTACAGTTTCAGGCAGTTCAGAATCTTTTCTTTTGGGAGACGATAACTCCATTCAATCTGCACTTTGGTTATTGTTTTCGCCACAGAAAAGGTAATTGCAAGTTTTTATCTCACAATTCTGACTTTTTTTCTTAGAATTGCAAGATATAAAGTCACAATTGCGTGTTATAAAGTCAGAAATGTGTGATATAAAGTCAGAATCGCGAGATATAAAGTCAGAATTGTGTGATATAAAGTCGAAA